GCTGAGGAAGGGACAAGGTGTGTGTGTTTTGCCTGTAGGTATATCTGGAAGAGGAGGGGGGTGGTGGTGGATCAGTGTAGTCACAGCAGTGAGTCAGCCTTAGTCACGGGGCAGAGAGGGTGATAGAAAGGGATGGTTGGTGAGAGTAGAGGAAGGAGGAGAAGGTAGTCGATTAGCAAGTCTGGAGTAGAAAGATGTGCACTGGTGGAGGCTGAAGGACAGATTGACAAAGGGAGGAAGAAAAGGGAGGGGTTTGGAGGACAGAGCAAAATGAAGGCAGACACTGACTTCTCTCTTTGTTTGGACTTCTGAAAAACGCTCCCAGCTGGTTTAGACCAGAGCGTAACACAACCTCGTGTTACGGTCTCACAGCAGCCCTGCCAAATGCCGTGGCGTCAGATGCCGCAAACAATGCAATACTACACTGGGCTGATTGTATTTCACTGCTTGCATTTCTCAGTGCAAGAAATGTAATGCTGTCTATAGAGCTTGTCTGAATGAATTAAGACATGGCTAGATTTATGAAGAGGGAGTTTTTAAACAGAATTGGACACAATGATTTTCTCCTGGTAACACAAATCACCTGTTTTTGATTAGAAATAAAGATTCACTTTTTTGTTCATAAAAACTATTTTATTTCAATTTCCCAAAGAGCCACATGAGGAACACCGGGGACTTTGGGATGCTCACTTATTTGACTTGATTATTAACTACAGTGATATTTATATATCAGTAATTATTCCTAACAGTTGTTATTGCATATAAACAATAAGGCTAAGTGGCTAAATGATTTTGCCAAAAATCTAAATTATTATATATATATTTTTTTCAGCCAATATTGTGATATTATTTTGTTCTTCCTCTGCAAAAACCAGAAGCATGTAGATTCGTCATTGTTTTCATGGCCTTGAAAACTTACTTGTCCAGAGTTCAGAGTCACAGAACTTTACTGTTTCAGTTGCCTGGAAAACTTCTTGTTTGTACTCGGATGCATGGATCAGTGTGCTACTCTCACTTCCATGAGTGGGAAAATCCACATCTTACTTTTGTTAATTTAATCAGACCAAAACTGAGTAACTTTGTTATTCGAAAATTTGACATTTAGTTATATTGCCTTTATATTCCAAATATAAATTAATTACTTGGCCCTATAAGAAATTCAACATGTCATATTGAGTACTTAATCTGTCATCTGTTAAGTTTCAAATAGAAATCACATACTTATAGTTTATAATTTGATAGTATGTCCAAATTAAATGCATCACAAGTGAAAAACTGTCCAGAATTTAGTTGTTTATAGCACAAAATAATTCACTAAGAAAGCAGACAACCCAAAGTTTCTCATTCGGTCATGGACCCACTGGGGGATGCCGTGAGGTCATTTCAGTCAGGAAGAAGTCATTTTACATAGCGAGTCAATATTAATTCACCTTTGTGATGAAGTTTTTATCCTTTAATGAGGACAAATACGAAGCAATCAGAGTCCTGGTGGTTTTATTTCATGCTTGCTGGTTTAATCACCACTGCTTAATGTTCTTTGATCTTATGCAGAGCCGGTGGAAGTTCCAGAGTGTTCTGTTTTGAAATAAAATTAATGAGAAAAAAAAATTTCATAAAAAAAGCTTAAAATCAGCTTTATTGACATGAGGCACTTTATTAAAGCAATAGAACAGAGAAAACAAGCCGTTGCAACTTTGGTATATTGAATCCAACTGATTCTGTGAGAGAACGTTTGACTACACTGACATCACAGCTGGGGATCGCTAGAGGCGCCCAGCATACTATATAAAATTCTCTCCATTTTTATTACATGGAGCATTTTTGGCATGATTTAGACCAGCCACATGGAGAAAGGAAAGGATAATCTACAATTCGTATGATAAAACTGCTCTAGATGCACTCCTTTCTATTTGACCTTTAAAGCAATTTTAAAAATTAGAGATGTTAACGTTCTTTGACTTCTTCCTGTCTAATCTGATGGTATTATTCAAACTAGGGCTGCAACTAACCATTATTTTAAAAATCGATGAATCGGCCGATTATTTTTTCGATTAATCGATGAATTGGACAAAAAATGTTTTTATATTAACCTCTTTATTCCAAAATAAACATTTTAGACAGAACAAACAAGCACACAAGTACAGGTTGCTCATTAACTGTACTGGTGCAATATGAAAAATAAACGTTTGTGTTAAAACTACGCAAACTTACATGAGAAATGTAGCTGTACATCCACAAAATATAGGGTACTTTGTTTCATAAAGCGCAAAAAAAAGACAGGCATTTTTGTTTTTAAAAGCCCCTAAGGGGTTCAAACTATAGGTCCCCCCATTTAAACAAATTAGTTTTTTTTAACTAGAAGAGTTCTGCCTTTTAAGACAGGAAAGGATAGCAGTTAAAGTTGCTACTTGAGAAAATACTAAACCATAGAGATAAAAATAGCCCTGTGATTCAAATTATAAATTGTATTTGGACTAAAAATTAGAAAACTAGGGGTGCTAAAAAACACATCCTCCAAAGACAGATATTTACATGGGAATGTGGCATATAATTAATTGACATATTACTGAGCTTGCTGGATTTTATTCTGCTTTACTTCCATAAATTGCAGGATCTTCTTTACTTTATCTTTGCCAGAAGATTTAAACTTTAAAAGCCTTGCCCTCATAATTTGCAAGTTAATTTATTTGATAAAGAAAATATAAACGCTGCTTAAGCCAATTCAAATGAAATTAAAAGTAAAATAAGTAGCCAACCATATCACTGTCTGTAACCTACTAACACGGTAAGGAAAGCATCAGATGAGCTACCTGAGAAACTAACGTTACGTTTCCCCACTTTAGAACGAAACAAACATGGTTACTCATCCTGCTGATCAGCTCTCTTCACTGCCATTGAAGGCTCCAACGTGTTTCCTTTTCAGGTGCTGCATCATAACAGTGGTGGTTCCGTGCCATGTTAATTTGTTTTTACAAAAGTTGCATGTTACGACTTTTTTTCACTTTACAAAGCGCAGGCTATTTTAATTATTGTGATCAATTTGCGCCGTCAATCCCGGCGCATGCGCGCTTCATTTGCAGTCTGGACGGGGTTGGGATGGGGGAGGCGCCCCACGGCAGCAGCTGCCGCTGGATAAACGATACATGCTTTCAGGTAAGAGTCTCCAAAAGCCGACAGTGACACCGTAAAAAGTCGCCATATTTGTCGCTAGTCGCTTTTTTGAAGAAAAGTCGCTGAGTTGGCAACACTGCACCTGCAACGCTGCCGTATTTTTTCTTCTTCCCCCGTTTCAGTCAAGTGGATGTGATGACGACTGCGGCGGATGACGCATTAATCGCGCGACACAACTAATCGATGATGAAATTCGTTGCCAACGCTTTTAAAAGTCGATTTTTATCGATTTTATCGATTCGTTGTTGCAGCCCTAATTCAAACTGAAATCTTAAACTTACTTCTAACATACTCTGTAAACTGTAGCATGTTTTGTTAGCTGCTATAATCTGTCAGGTCAAGGTTTCTGCTTCCCGAGACTCCATCCAAGAAGCTGAATTGTCGAATTGGCATGTCAAAGGTTTTTTATCATTAACGCTTGAACATTTCAAACAATCTTTTATTCCAGCAGTCATTTTCATTGACTTTGTTGATTACCCTGTTGATTTGTTGAGCAGTGTTTATATAAAAGCTCTTTTAACAACTCTAGGATGATCAGAATGTAGGAGCATAAAAATGATGGCACTTCTCACCTGAGATTTAAAATCCATCTTTAGGGGTCCAAACACAGTTACCTGCTTTAACTACACATGCACATGCAGACAGGTCACAGAATGGGCTGTCAGCTGATCAAGCAGCAGGTCTGCTGATGTTCCTGTAAGACCAACTATGTATTCAATGACTTTGAACTGTGGCTTTATTGAAGTATTTACCCTGCTGAGATTCTTAATTGGGTTACCTGGGGATCTCAATGAGGACATAAAAGAGGGAGCAGACTAAAAGACGGGGGAGCTCAGCATTAGTAGACTTGCGCATCTTTATTAATATCTTCACATCGTGCTGCATAACTAGGCATTCCACATGGACCTGAACTCCAGCAAGAAACCACAACTGAATTTAGAACAATGAGATAATTTTTCTCTGTTTTATTCATGTCTGTGTGTATCAAAAAAGGTTTGCGAAAAATGTATAACTAGTTTGTAAATGGTAGCTGTATAGGAAAAATTATTATTTAGCAATTGGAGTAAAAGTAATTGGATCATATCATATCTCTTCTTTTTTTTTTTCCAAATCTTATCCTGTCGTTTGACAAGCCAGAACCTCAATTTAAAATCCTGAGCTTGCATTTTAAGACAACAGTTCCAAATATTTTTGTTTTCCAAATCAAACATTTCGGGTTCTGAAAGACTTAATGAAGAACTCCAATTGAAAATGTGCCTTTTCTATTTCAAGCATCTCCAGATGACTGTTCAAGCTCTTCAGGATGAGCTGAGGATCCAGAGGGATCTGAACCAGCTGCTCCAGCAAGACCCTGCCAGTCAAGGAAGGGAGCTGGCCCTGACATCTGAGCCTACAGAGGAGAACTACCGGAGACTGCATGCTGAGCATGAGAGGCAGGCGAAAGAGCTCTTCCTTCTTAGGAAGACGCTGGAGGAGATGGAGCTGAGGATTGACACACAGAAGCAAACCCTGGCAGCTAGAGACGAGTCCATCAAAAAGCTTCTGGAGATGCTGCAGAGCAAAGGTAGGTTTAGAAGCATCCACACCATCCAGTTAGCAGTAGTAGAATAATTTGTCATCACTTATTAAAGGGCTATATGTGCAACATACTTCCATTAACTTTACTAACAGTGTGTCCACTTAATAATCTGTTGTTTTTTCCATCCAACATTTCATCTATCTATCTATCCCTTCTTCTATTTGTTTATCATCTATAGCTAAATACCCAAGCTCCTGTGAGTGAGAAGTGTAAAAGTTTCTTGTTTTGTTATGTCCTTCAAAAGTCCTGAAGTTCCATCATGTGTCTTTGTGCTGATTGTTTGGTTACTTGCCGTCTTTATATTGACAAAATCTTCGTTTTTATTGTATTTCTTTCCTGTGTGTGTTACAGCACCATCTGCCAAAGCATCAGAGGAAGACCAGGAGCGGACCCGGAGGCTGGCTGATGCAGAAATGCATAGGCATCACCTTGAAAGTTTACTGGACCAAAGGGATCGGGAGATTACAGCTCTCAGAGAGGTAAGGCCCAGATGGATTATTCTGACTCTAAAGGGAACTTTAGCCACCCCAACATTTTATGTCTAATTGGGGGGAAAAAAATTAATGTGAAATCTCTTTTTACAATTTGATCCAGCAGGAGCTTCATCGTCGATACGAAGGAACTCCAGAGTCCACCAAAACAAAGGCTTTGCAGACTGTTATCGACATGAAGGTGCGGATCTAACCGTCTCCATCTATTCAGCTTGGTCACATCATACTTTAATTGTTTACACAATCCTAATACCCCAGGATGCAAAAATCAATTCCATGGAGCGGAGCCTCAGGGACATGGAGGAGGAGGTTCTAATGCTGAAATCTAATGGGCTCCTGAGCTGTGAGGAGCGTCAGGAGGAGATGAAGCAGATGGAGGTGTACCGCAGTCACACCAAGTTCATGAAAAACAAGGTTAGAGACAGAATAAGCTCAGTTAAGGTCCACTCAGCTATGGAAGGTTTGTCATGTTAGTTTTATTCTCATAAATAAGTGGATTTAATTCTTTCTCATGCTTTTCAGATGGAGCAGGTGAAGCAGGACCTTTCCAGGAAGGACACTGAGCTCCTTGGTTTGCAGACTAAGTTGGAGACGCTAACTAACCAGTTCTCTGACAGCAAACAGCACATTGAAGTCCTCAAAGAGTCTCTCACTGCCAAGGAGCAGCGAGCTGCCATCTTACAGACCGAAGTATTACACAACCCCAAAAAGAAACCATGTTTACTCTTTAAGTCTTTTTATGCATATCATATTTGTTTTATTGCTGTGCAGGTTGATGCCTTACGTCTGCGCTTGGAAGAGAAGGAGGCGACTTTGAATAAGAAGAGCAAACAGATTCAAGAAATGTCAGAGGAGAAAGGAACCCTGAACGGAGAAATCCACGACCTGAAAGACATGCTGGACGTTAAGGAGCGCAAAATTAATGTGCTGCAGAAAAAGGTGATCTTAAAAAACGTAGCATGCAGTAATTCTCCTACGGCGGATGTTTGCTTTGACTGACTGGTAATGTGTTTGCTTTGCAGATTGAGAACCTGCAGGAGCAACTTAGAGACAAGGAGAAGCAGATGAGCAGCTTAAAGGAGAGGGTGAAGTCCTTGCAGGCAGACACTTCAAACACTGACACTGCTCTCACAACACTGGAGGAATCACTTGCAGAAAAGGTGGCTTTAGATATTAGCTGTTGTATCCCCCATTTTGTATGGTGTCCATCTGAGAACACCTTTTATTACCTTTTTTCACATTCATTTAGGAAAGAATTATTGAACGTCTGAAGGAGCAGCGCGATAGAGATGACCGGGAGAAGACGGAGGAGCTTGACAGCTCCAAGAAGGAGCTGAAAGAGCTGAAGGAGAAGCTGAGCTTAGTGCAAGGAGACCTGTCAGACAGAGAGGTGAGGAACTGCTGTGATTCTAAACATTCACAAAGAACAGATTATCTTTTTTTGATTAATTTAATTTTTTTAGTTTTTTTGTCATGCCTTATTAGCACAAATATCTTTTTGCATGCAGACCTCTCTGTTGGACCTGAAGGAGCATGCTTCATCCCTGGCTTCATCAGGACTGAAGAAAGATACCAAACTCAAGAGTTTGGAAATAGCCTTGGAGCAGAAGAAGGAGGAGTGCCTCAAACTGGAAAACCAACTGAAAAGAGTGAGATAACGGATCCTGTTAGTTATTGACCTTATAGTTCATGCTCTGTGGTTCTTAAATGGACTCTCCTCCTCCCCCTAGGCTCAAAATGCAGCACTGGAAGCTCAAGCCAATACAGAGCTGGCTGAGCGCATTAGGAACCTAGAACAGGAAGTGGCCCGTCACAGAGAGGACTCTGGGAAGGCCCAGGCAGAGGTTGACCGCCTCCTCGAGATACTTCGGGAAATGGAGAACGAGAAGAACGACAAGGACAAGAAGATCAATGAGCTGGAGAGGTGTGGTTTCTGTTTAAGCTTTAGTTTTATTTCCCCTAAGATCAAAGTCTGTAGTCTGTCAGCCTGTGATTCCTGATGGTCAGAGAGATGATGCACAAATCATTACATTTATATATTTTTTTGTCTCTGTCACTCAGGTATAATCAAACTGAAATGCATCTCTTTCTGATTCTGCAGTAACTCAGTGTGATAGATGGCTGGCAAATTTAAGATTTAGCGCCCAGCATCTCTCTTGAATTGCTTATTTTTTCATTCTAAAAAGTCTAAATTCTTTTCTTCCTTCCTAATCTAAATATGCTCAGTTTCTTAGCCTGAGTCTCTTTTCTCTTTACTGCTTTCTTTGCACTGGAAATTTCATACCCGAGCAGTTTGGCCTCCAGGTTAGTGCTCTCTCTTTTCTATCCACCCAACACCCCTTTTACTTTGTCATCTTCTTTTGTTTCCTTTCCTCTTCTTTGGGTATCTTGTTTCTTCAAAGTGTCTGCTGGGTGCACCCTTTTTCTATTCCTGACACATTTTTTTTTTCATATTTCTGTTCTTGATTTATTTTCTGGTTTTAACTTGAAGCCAAACCTTACATTTGTCACTTTTTACAATTCTAATGGAATTCCTAATTAGGCAATATATCTGTGTGTGTGATTTTTAACTTGGGTCTACTTGATGCTCAATTAAATAAAATGACAAACTAAAAGTAGGCATGATTGGTAAGAAATATAAAATAAAATCTAGACAATTAAATGGGTCCTCTACAGCTCTAAAAGCATAAAACAGTTAAAAAATTAGATTTTATATCATTTTCTGTTGTATGCAATGTTTTAAGTTTGTAAAAACTTGTTTATAAAAATCACCATTTCTCATTGTTTATAAAAATCACCATTTCTCATTCTTTACCTTTTTTTGAGTTTTTTTTTTTTTTTACATCAATTTAATGACTTTTATGTTAATTTTGCCTCCTTACAACTCGACTTGGTGTCTTTCCTATAAGTCACTTATAAACAGATAAAATTTATAAAATAATAGAAATGGGCTATAATTAAAAAAAATCACTCCTCCCCCTAGATCTGTGGAACATTTTTTAAACAGCCTCCAATATTTTAAATGATTACTTCTTTTTAGATTTTTTTTATTTTTTATTAAACTATCACTTCATGCAATGTCATGTAAAGTTATGTTGTATTTTTTTTATCATTTAAACTACATTTTTCAGGCATTATAGATTTAAACTGTTTCATTTATGTCCAAACAAAAATAAATTATCCAATTTCTGCCAAATCATAAACCAGTTTCTATGCAAATGAATCAAAAGCAGGAAAAACCTAATTGATTATTAAAAACTAAAGTTTTTAATAAAACTCCAATTGAGGAACCCCATTGAAAATCAATAAAATATCAGATTTGAAGTCTGTATTGTTTTTAATGTTGGTTTTAAGGGAATTGAGACTTGTACCATTTTGAAAAGGGTCTGTGAGCAATAATTCATAAAAAAAAAATATCATGTTTTTGAACGTAACTGGGAGTTGATATCTTAATAACCAATTCTTTATGAAGCCGTAACATCTTTGTTATGAAATATTTAATGTTCACTTCGATAAAAGTGCTTATATGTGTAACAAACCCTTGCATTTGAAGCTTAACAGCATTGCTATACTGAATAATAACAAAGCTATGATGTTTAAGAGTTAAATATAGTTTCTTGTTTCAGTTGTTTGACAAGAGGTAAAATTAAAAATATTCTCTCTAATAATTGGTTTGCAGGCAAATGAAGGACCAGACTAAAAAGGTAGCCTCTCTGAAACACAAGGAGCAGGTGGAGAAGAGCAGGAATGCTCGACTGATGGAGGAGGCCAGGAAGCGCGAGGACAACCTGTCTGAAACTTCCCAGCAGGTGAAGGTGAGGCTTGTGTGTGTGTGAATTGCTCGGGCTTGAATGCAGTTTGCAGGAAATGAATCCTGGGATGTTGCGTCAGCGCCTGACAAAGCTAAACTTTCCGCTGGTGTGAAGGACACTCTGCGTCAGAAATCAGAGCGCATTGAAGAGCTGGAGGAGGCTCTGAGGGAGAGCGTTCAGATCACTGCTGAGCGAGAGATGGTGCTGGCACAGGAAGAGGCTGCACGATCGCTGCAGGAAAAACAGGTAATTAACACACACTGCATGATAAGTCAGTATTAACCAACCACAAGAAGCTGCTGCTAATACTAAACATTTCTATTTACACAAAAAGGTATCTGGAAGTCCTTCTCTTTCACCTTTGGCTGTCTTTGCGGTGTTTACCTCTCTTTGTTTTGCCTCCTCTCTTCTGGCCTCCTCCTCTTTCTCAGTTTCTTTATCTTTGCTTGTTGTTTTTTTTTCTTGTCTTTCTGCTACACAACCGCCTCTCCGAAGCACTCATTCAAACCAATGCATGAGTCCAACCTCTCCCACTTAAAGTGGTCTAAGGTATGAGCCCAGTATGTGTAATCTTCATCAGTGGTCGGCAGCTCAATACAAACAACACTTCTACAAGTCATGCAGTCTCATGCAGCAATATCAAAGGTTATCTTTGGTGGATATGAAAGCTTTCGAATTGATGTTCAGACTGCATGGATTTGTAAAGTGTCTCCAGCCTTTGTAAATTCAATGCGATTTATTTTTTTACCTGCTGTTTGCTTGTAAAGTAAAGCTACAGAGCCGTACGAAAGTATTCATACTTCTTGAAATAATTACTCATTTTATCAGGACACAACCACAAACTTCATAGTATTTTGTAGCGATTAAACAAGAAATGCTGTGCGTTTCTGGAAAACTAACCCTGTTCATCAGACTAAACTCTACCTCTCCATTGTGAAACATGGTGGCGGCAGTATCATGCTGTTGGAATGCTGGAAACAGATACAGGGAGGCTGGTCAGAGTTTTAGAGATGGTAGGATTGAGCAAAACCACAGAGCAAGAGGAAAAGTCTTAAAGCTGGAAGAATATTTAGAGGTTTAGTTCCTGAAAAGTGAGAACCTTAAAACATAGGTTTCAATATAATGGTTATATATAGAGCCTTTTTCATGTAAGGAAATGGTTCAATTAAAGTCCAGAGCTTAATTCAATTGAGTATCTCTGGAAAAACCTGACAGCATCTTCTCATGCCATCCATCCACTTTGAGCTTGAGCTACTTTTGCAAAGAAGATTGAGGAAAATTTCTCCTTTTAGTCTTTTACTGTGCAAGGTGGTTCTACAGCAACTCAGGAATGTTAGATGCATTTACCACTAATTTTCAGTTCTAAACATAAATAAAAGTTATGTTTTACTTATATCACACAATTATGTTCTGCTTTGCTTTGGTCTGTCACACAAAATCCCCCAAAAGCTGTGAAGGTTTGTGGTTGTATGATTGCATAATGTGCAAAATGGTTTGGGGGAGTATGAACGTCTTTGTAAGGCAATGTATTCATCAGTTAGCCAGTGAATGAGGATGAACTATTCAACTCTTCTCTTGTGTCATGATTTGTTTGAAAAATGAAATCAATGATTAAGTGTTCACGGAAATACTTGAGAGCTCATCTCATTTGCTTTGGCAGGATATTTTTGCCAGCCCTTCAGTCAATCAGTGCTGTTTTACCTTTTGAAATACAGGTTTGATGCATTAACATTTCTGTTTTGGCACTCATGAACAGAATGGGAGGACTGCTGCTGATGTGGAAGGGTTATTTCAGTCTACCATCATCACTACATCGTTGTTGGTTTTCTTTCCTTTTTTCTTTGCTTGGATGTGTTGCATCCAGAGGTTAAAGGGATTGGTGGTAATATAAAGGGAGGTTATTGAACATGGTTTCCTTAACTGTTGGAGAAAGATGTCATATTTTATAGTGAGAATATGTAGGGAGAAAAATAAATTAGGATACTGATTGATCACCTCCATCTACCTCTGACAGGCTCTGAATATTAGCCACTGTCAGTGGCTGATAAAACTTACAATTTTTATTTTTTCACATTTTTATTTGAGAGCACTACCTCATCTCAAATGATTTGGTATTGAACTTTTTTTAATAAAATAAGATTGGAACTGCATAATTAGTGGCTATAAAAGAACAAGTCTGCCAGAACTGGATTTGGCATGTTAGGCTTTTTAAAGATTGGCCAGAAAAGTGCAATCATTGTAATTTGCAATCATTGCAAACCAATTTTACAATTTTCAGTACTAATGCTTTAATCATAAATCAGTAGTTTAATGTTTCAAATGTTTTTATTAAAGAAATTTACCTGCTTCAGCTTAGAAGCAAGCTAATTTACAACAATTCTCCAGACAAACATGTGGCACCAGTGCGCCTTAGTTTTTCCCCTTAGTTGATACCAAACTTGAATGTGAGCATACCATCATGTGAGTACAACATATCCAATAAATCTGACATACTGATGACAAGATGAAAAAGCATCATATGTTAGCTATCACCACATTTAGCATTGCTGAGATTCATAGAAGATTGTCAGCACTTCAAAATCCTTTATGTTTCATTACAGACAGAAGACATTTCAAGAGACTGAAGACAGAGTAACTTTGCTGAAGTTAGTTCAGGATTCTAAATTTCTGCTCTCTCCTCTTTTAGGAGGTAGCTTAAACCAATCAGCCGATAGGCCTCCCTCAATATAATAAACAATAGCTAAAACCTAATTTTCTTCCCTCAGTAGCAACATCCACACTAAACAGTTTTGTTCTTGTACAGATGTATCAGTGTGGTTGTATTAAAATGGTTGATCATAAAAAGAATGGATTTTATTTTCCCTGCTGGACCACAATGTCTAGCAATGGTTACATTCTGATTGGTCAGTGATAGACTCTGCCTCAAACTATTTTATGCTATTTTAAACTATACTATTTTAAACTATATTAAAGGATCTATCTAAACCTCTCTTTTAGCAATCTTACTCTACTTGTTTATTGCTAAAATTTCAGCCCCTATCAGGCTATAAGCTTTCTCTCAGCAGTATGACACCTTTCTACTACAGGTAACGATAGTGAAATGTATTTATAGATTCTCCCCTGGGGGGTAAGAAGCAACTATCCCTTTAAGACGCCCTTGAGTTAAAACTGATTCCAGTCTGTGTACAACTACTTGTTTTAATTGTTTTGCTCTTAACTATCGTTTACTTTAATAGGTTTTACAGTACATAGCAGGTAATTAAAACTGTTTCTACAGCTGCCCTTCCATCAGTTTGTTTCACATTTGGAAACTGTGTAATTTAATGGGAAAATCTTAGACTCTTGACTGCCATTGATCTTTATCGATGTGTGTTCCCAGATGGAGGAGCTGCTGGGTGCCATGGAGAAGGTGAAGCAGGAGTTGGAGTCCATGAGGGCTAAGCTGGCATCCACCCAGCAGTCTCTGTGTGAAAAGGAGGCCCACCTCACAACCCTGCGAGCTGAGCGCAGGAAACACCTGGAGGAGGTGCTGGAGATGAAGTAAGACCCAGGCCCACACAGTCACTCACTCACTCTGTAGGGTGCCATAGACTGTAGATTATTGATCTCTCCCTTAATCAAGTAAAATGTCATCCATTTCTGGCTTTCCCCAGATGGCATGCTGGGATTGTCTATGAATAATACAATGCCTGAGGTATCTGCTTGTACACTTAAAAGTTATGGTGCTTCAACTACTCCAAACAGGCAGGAGGCACTTTTGGCTGCCATTAGTGAAAAGGATGCTAACATCGCACTGCTGGAGTTGTCATCCTCTAAGAAGAAGAAGACCCAGGATGAGGTGACTCAGTTGAAGCGAGAGAAGGACAGACTGGTGCAGCAGCTCAAGCAGCAGGTAGGGAAACACCATCTGGTATCAGCAAGGGGATGAATGAGATATGGAAATTAGTTGTTTAGGGAGATTTTTACGTACTTGCATACACTGTCATGTTTTTAAATTTATCCAGGAGTATGTCCCACTCTGCCTCCTATAGGTGGAGCTGAAACTGGTTGGAATTAAATTTAAAAATATTGTATTAATCCAAAATGCAAATGACATTTCATTCATAATTGCAGGATGGTGAGCTTTGTGTCAAATATGCTGCTTTTGGTTGTGATTAAATTTATCTTAACCATTTTTAGAATGAGTTACTAACACAGCCAGAGTTAACAACAACTAAAAACACAAACTCTTCTAAAGTTTGGTCAGTGTTCTCCTAGTCTTTTATTTAATCTTTTTCTGGTTCCCAAAGATTGTTTCCTATATAATATTGTTATTATTATTGTCATCATTCAGTTAAATAGTACTTAATATCATTGTTGATTCATTTTTAACACAAGTTGACCCGTTTAAATAAAGCCATATCAAACTTACTCTGGTTTTCCTTAATTAGTTCAAGATGGTGTCATACTTTTACAAAGAAAGGCGACAGAATATTGCAAAAAAAATAAAATTAAATATGAATATTCTAAATATTTTATTTACTTGTGTATCTCTTAATTTCTTCAATATTTTTCTGGGATTTTCCACTGGGAGAGACTGTTATTTTGAACACTTCTCACTAGTGAAAAAGGGTTGTGCCACTCAGTGCTGCCATCATCGCGTTAAAACAACATATTCTAAGTATGCAGGAAAGAATATGCCTTTAAGACATTCCTGTCTGCTCTGCAGGTGGTCAGTCAGTATCTCAAAGCACACATTTAGTTTGTACTCTGACTTCTCTCACTCTTTTATCTTTGACCTTTTCTTGTATTTATTACATATTTTTTGTCAGATTTTCTGCTTCAAAGGGTGAAATATTGCTTTGCACTCTGTGTGCATGAGAAGACAAAAGTGTTTGTCTGCATGTGAGCACACACAACGCAGCCTGAGTTTGCCTCTGAAATGGAGCATGAGGCACGAGTTGTTTTACCAGCTTTTTTTTGAGTCTGGCGTTTTATAAGAGCTAAAAGTAGAGGAGCAATCACATAGGGACAGAAATATATCATGGTGCAGTCTGGCATTACTTAGAGCAGCTAAAATAATTGAGAACATGTTAAATCACTTCATGTCTTGATCCTATGGATGAGCTCTTCCAGTTTTCTGCTGTCAGTCCTTTCAACATATTCTCATTATCAGTGCGTATGAAATCGTACGAAAAGTTATGCACACTATTACGTACGTTTTGGACGTTTTTCCTCAAAAAACCACATCAGTGCGCATGCGCTGGCAGACAGAAAAAAAAGCAGATCCGCGGACGGACGTAAAACTGGGAAAAACAGTGCAATCATCACTTATTCATATCTCTAACTACGTTGCTTGCTGTTTTATATCTTAGGGTTAGGGTCAGGGTTAGGGCTAATTGTAATTTATATTCTATATTCGTGAATGGTGCGTCAGATGCGCATACAACGAAAAAAACGTCCAAAACGTACGAAATTACGGTGCATAACTTTTCGTACGATTTCATACGCACTCATAATGAGAATAGGTTGGTCCTTTCTCTCCTTCCACTTTAACTCCTTTATTCCTTTCTTACCCTCAGTGTGCCCTTCCCGTCTTTGCTCCCTTGTTTTGCCTTTTTCATCTGTTTTTCCCAGGAATCAGCCTATTTTACAGTATAAATATCAGCCACAAGTTCATAGAGAACACTTTTTAGTTCCTATTTCACATTGAGGACTTTGAGCCCCACACTTATGTTTACAGTTGTTTTCAGAGAAACTGATCGATGGTCCAGGTACGTAGTGGAATCCAACATATGTGATCGTCTAGATGTAATTTTCAGCAAAATATATATACATTATACTTATCAGAGAGCGACCAAAGCAGCTGGCCAGTATTTTTAGCTGATATTAGCTTTTTCCCTTGTATCAGTATCGGAGTATCACGGATCATTGGTGCATTTAGAATCAATGGCCTGAGATCATGTGATGCATTAGCGCTCACTTCATCTGCTATCCACTCTTATTATGTTTCATTTGTAATTAGGGTTGGGCAATTAATTGCATTTTCTATATAATTGCAATTTTCAAAAAAAAACAACAAAATTTTCAAGAAGCAGCCAAATTTAATCACACTATATTTAACTACACTAAGACACTAAATTTCTTAATGCAGCCCTTTGCGTAGGCAGTAAAAAGCTTGAAGTGGGTTTGTCACCACACAGAAAGGTAGAGAGAGAATTGTAGCTAGCTAGTAGATCCATGCATCTAGGAAGTAAAAACTTCTTCACACAAAAGTTAAAGTCCTGCAACAATAGATTCTGGGCAAGCAAGCTTTCAAAAACTAAAGGCCTGTGGTGACACATCTACAAGTTTGCGGTTGGTGCAAAGGAAAATCGAAATAAAATCCCAATACTGGTTAAAAATAATAGCAATCTAGATTTTTTTGCAAAATCGTTCAGCCCCATTTGTAATAGATGTTTCTTTTTTAATTGAAACTAAGACTTGTCGAACAGTCATGGTTGTTTGATGTTCATAAAGTAAATTAAGGAAATATTAGCAATATCAGCTCCAAGAACCGTCTCAAAAATATTGGCAGCACATATCAAGGATTGGTTGACCTTAGAAAATCTGTATCAGTCGGTCTCGTAAGTTTTTAAAAAGTAATAGGAAACACTTTATCATTATCATATTTGGACAGAGGCTCAGTGGGAAACTGCTGATCACAGCTTTTGTCTTTGGGTTTGGCTGAATTAGAACGGGTCAGTTCCTATATTAAGGTTGTCTCCAACAGCCATGTTTTCCTTCGATTAGGTCAAAAGATGTACTTTAAAATGTTTCCACTGAGTGGTTTTTATTTAAATTCTTCTATCTTTTCCTTGTCTTTAATTGTCAGACTCAGAACAGAATGAAGCTGATGGCCGACAACTATGAAGATGATCACTTAAAGGCTGCACACGATCACACAAATCACAAACCCTCTCCAGATCAGGTAACTCCACGAGCTGCATGTTTCCAGATCTCTTTTGACAGCAGCCTTTGAAAAGAGCTTTTCAGTATAGAAGGTTGGACTGCTTGATGGACGGCCATGTAAAGGGAACAAAGGAATCATTGTGTAGGTGTGCTCTAACCACATATTTCTTTTCTAATGCTGCGCCTGGCAAACCTTGTGGTTAACAGGATGATGAGGAGGGTATTTGGGCGTAGCCAGCCTTATACCCTTCCCCTCTCTTTCACAGCCTTTTTGTTCAGAAGGGTGAGCTCGTATTAAACAAAGCCAATCCTTCCACTTTCATCACTGGCATGTTCATTTTTTTTCTTCCTCCATTTATATGTGGTGCATTTCATGTCATTTGATGTTGGGTCTTATTGTTTAAGAATGGAAACATCTGTCATGCGTGTTGCTGTGGTTCGTTAAATTTGCATGCCATCATTATGCTTTTAATTGGTGCTCATTGTACTTTGTTTCTGATGATAAAACTAAAGCTGCCCAGTACTAATGTATAATGAGGATGGACAGCTATGCATGCATGCAGAGTAATGATCACTGTGTTATCATTGTTTGGAAGCATCTGGACTGGATCCAAACCTGTTTCTATCATCCTAACATTCTTCCTCTGACACTTTTTCCTCTCTTTATAGATGATTGCCCCTCTTCTTGCCCTGTCCCAGAACCGCAGCAAGCTCAAACTCTACATCGCCCACTTGACAGACCTCTGCAATGACCGAGACCCCAGCATCCTCAGCCAGCTCTCTCCTCCCTCTCATTACCACCACAGCGACCCTGAAGACTGGGAGGAGGAGCTTCAGAAAATGAAAGTTGAACAGGTACTGAGGAAACCCATGGCACAATCTAAGAATCTTTTGTATTTTAATATTTTAACTTTCTGTGAGGTGAAGCAAAACGCACTGCGTTTTAAATATTCATTGTGTAGCTATATTACAGACTCAAACTTTATTTGTACCGGAAGTGTAAAGCACGGGGTGAGACAAATCCATAAACTGTGCTGTGTATTTGTTTATATAAATTGTTTTCTAATAACAAATAAAATGGCAACCAATAAACTTCAGCCTACATGCAAAATGCTTTAAATAGTGAACTTCTGCAGTGACAGGGAAGCTGCCCAGAGTTGATGAGAAGATAGGTGGAGCTAACCTAACAGTCATGTTTTTTGACTGTGGGAGGAAGCTGGAGTACCCGGAGAGAACCAGTGTATGCTCAGGGAGAACCTGCAAACTCCATGCAGAAAGGGAATCGAACTCGCAACATTCTTGCGGCAAGGCAGCAGTGCTACCCACTGCACCACTGAACAGCCCGCTTTGATGATTTTTATCTACAAAATTATTTGAAAGCAATGCATGATTTTTCCTTCTGCTTCATAGTGATGCACTTCTTTGTGGAGGATTCAAACTAATGTTTGAGGTTTCAAATTTAGAAAGCTTTTGCTATTGTACACCACAGCAGATTTATTGATTTCTTTGCTAATTCTGGCCTGTTTTTGGTCAGTTGGGTTTAATTGTAATATACCTCTTTCCAATATTTAAAGATAAATTTAAAAAGAAAAGAAATTGAGTTAAAAAAAGATAAAGGTAATTAAAAAATGTGTTTTAGAAATGGATATATTTCATTGGAACGAAACCCAGAGGTGCCACTGATAAAATGGCAAACATCCTATATTTGACTTAAGCTCCTCTTGACCATTTTTAATATTGTCTTTCGAAGTGTTTTATTTATTTTTATGTTTACAAAGTCACCCTTTTTATGATGGCAACAAACAAAAGCTCCAGCCAGAAAGAAAACCTCAGTTACCATGGCAGCACCTGCAATCAAAACGCACTTTGATGGGGAAAATATCTGTGAAATTAACGTTGAGACTCACACAATGGTCATTATTAACCTCATAAACATCAAGTTCCAAATATACAAAACAAAATAAACATCAGCCTAGTGAGATCAGGGAAAATTACTGGTATTAAACTCCAGCTGCTTGTTTGTGGTGCATTTACTCTAAGTACTTGTTATTGTCAGTTTTACATTTTAAAACCACAGCTACATGGTTCGGTACATCTTAACATGATAAATAACCTCAAAATGTTTTATTGCAGTTTCCATCTATTACTAGCAAATAAAGTTTACAAAAAACATCATAGATTTTGTGCTTTGCCCTAAACATCATACAATTGAATGGCTCTCTTTAGCTTGGAACATTCTAAAGGGTTAAAAAAAAAAAAAGATTTGGTGGATAGATAAAATTGTTACTAATGTTATCATTAAAAATCTTCAGTAGTTTTATAGACATTGATTTTTAATTTCCGTAAAGTTAGAATCAAAATCATTTCAACTACTGTGATTATGTGGACTTATTTACAATCAAGTATAATGTTTCCCTTCAACCTTGTTACTATATGAATACTTATTAATATATTATTTAATGACATTCTAAGATTACAAGCCTTTAACCTGTTGTTCTTCTGATTAACTTAATAAGTTGATGTATGCTGCTTTTGGAAAAAAAAAAAATCAAAAAACGTTGAAATTAGTCAAATAGAGCATTGGAAATTTATAAACAGCTGAGATGGATTGAATAGATAGCTGCGATAAATCCAAAGCAACCATTCTGTGGAATTTTAGTATTGAGATAAAATATATCTTTGCATGTTTAATTCTCAAAGGATTTTTCTGAAAAAAATGTTTTGTTTTTCAGGTGCAGGAGTATCTGTCCCAGTACACGATAAATGAAATGCATCCTTAAGTGTGCAGCTGATTGTTGAGCAGAAAGAATTTTATGATTCTTCCAGCTGTTTTTCTTTATAGAATCAGAAAAAAGCTGATTTTTTTTCTAAAAATAAATATATATATATATATAGGACCTCAAATTGTCTTGGAATGANGCTAAAATTTCCTAGATTGAGATGTTTTGAACCGGATTTAGATGTTCTGAAAGTTTGCCAAATCTTCAAAATGATGAAAAAGTCTTTGAGATGCAGCTTTAAAAAAAATGTTTTATAAAATTGATTTTGACAAAGCAGGTTTATTTATTACGCACAATACAGTAGCAAGGCAATTTAAAGTGCTCCACATGAGGAAAAAGAAAAGGGTAGAAAAGAGACATTACACTGGTATAAAGTTAAGAAGAATAGTTAAAAAAGAAGATAAATGAAAGGAAAGATTTGTAAAAATAAGCTCAGAAGGCTCTTTAAACGTGTTGAAACAAACTCCTGAAAATAACAACCCTGTCCTTTCTGCTTCCAGTTGGAACGGGAGTTGGAGGTGTGTGAGAAGGAGAGCGGGGAGCTGCAGGAGTACGCCAATTCGGTCCTCCAGCAAATCGCAGACTACTGCCCAGATATCCTGGAACAGGTTGTCAATGCGCTGGAGGAGTCATGTTGACAAATCTAACCTCGGACTCACAGAGCCCAGAAAGCCCCACCCATCACCCCCCTCCTTAAAGGAGACAAAGCTTGGGCCGTCATCCTCTCCACCTGGCAACAAACCTCCAGGAAACAGAAGTGCTTTTCTGTCTCATATTTCCATCTAAGGTTAGGCTGGTTCCTCAAAATAAGAACATTCAACAAACACTTTGAGTAAATATTCAGTTTAGTCCAAATGAGTGAAGAGACCTAAAGCACAGGCCTGATCGTGTCAGGCACGCACACTGGAATGATCTTTACTTTTAATTTAGCCTCTTCTCACAGATGCTGTTCCAGATGGAGAAGAGAGCCTGACCCAGAGGAGGGACAGACACTCTCACTCCCTCTACCTCTTAGATTTATCTCTCAACCCTCTCATGTTAAGAGGGATACATATTCCCCATCATTGGGACAGAAAAGCACTCTTGTCCTGCTATTTCTTAGGAAAGCTGCTATATCCAAAGGGAGCAGGAGGGAGTGGATTCCAGAGGCGCAGCATGGAGCCATGTAGATGTTTTTCAGTATAGGGTTGCCTAACATGACACAATCTGAAGGCAACTTTTCAACCAAATGAGCACAGACAGCTGCAGAAGAGCTGCAGTTTTGGTCATCAGTGGCTGGGTCATTAGAGGGGTTCAGCCTTTACCAGAAGAGTTTCTGATTTTAGTTACTATGTTCTCAAGCAGAGAAGAGGATTTAGGGGTGGAAAAGAAGAGCTTTTATTGTTGAGGTATTAATTTCTCGGTGGTTTTTTGCACACAGTGTCCACTTGTTAATGGGGTATGCAATGTTTCTTTGAGAACGTTCTTGTGGCCTTGGAGCATGCACAGAAATCAGTACAGGACCTAAATGCCGAGGTATTTACGCCTCTGTAATACTGGTGCTACGGCATGATGTAAGAACTGATCCTCATCCAAAGTTCCTAATGGATTTCCTTAAAGCCCACATATTGATGCCCTTTTTTGTATGCTCAGATGTCTCTGTTTGCGTTTTTTTTCCTTTTTGGTTTTTGTTTGTTTGAATATTCAGGGCTGAGTTTTTTAATTACTAAGTGCATTGATTGACATTAACAGAGAAAATAAGTAAATTTTCAAGCAGGTTTTGACTTTTTAAATCAGTTTGTAAATAATGTGATATTTAACACGTACAGTAACTGAATAAAAGTAATACCGTGGAAGGTGTTGTGCATTAAAAGGAAAAAAACTAAATCTGAAAAGTTCAAAGCAGTGCAGTTGTCTTTTGTGTCTAATTTTGTCTCCTGGGGGACTGGCGTAAGTGTGACAGTGCTGCCATAAACTGCAGAAAGTCTATGTTCTATAGAGAAATATATATAAATAAGATATATGAAAAGTTTTACTGTATCAATATGCATTGAATGTTTGCACAGAATCTCCAAGAGCAAGTTGCTCTGAACAAAATGTTTTCAGCGGAAACTGGGAAAAGATGCATTTAAAAAAAAAAGTGTTAAAATAATGTGCGAAGTTCAGACATTTCAAACCGTGACTATGTGATGATGGGAGAGTACTGTTGAGTTTGTTTCTAATTGTCTTTTTCAAATAAATAATCTCGCCAAACGGTGGAGCTTTCCTGAGATTCCCATGTTGTCTTTTCTTATATTAATGGTTTTCATTGCTGAACTTAAAAGAATAAAAACAAATCTTGGGCTATCTTAGCCCTCCTGCTACAAAAGGTTTAATTCGGTAGGTATCGGAGGAAGAACCAAAGACAAGAGCTGGAGTAAAAAAAAAAAAAAAAAGTTGGATGCTTGTTTTCTTGTCAAATTGAAGAGGTGTTTCTGTCCCTTTAGCTCCTAACAGCTGAAATCAAAGATTATGCTTTCAATCCCCATTTATTTTAGCCTGCTTCTCTCCCCCTGCCTTAAGATCTCATTTCCTTTCCCTCCTATTTCTTTTTGGGAACACAGAGCTAACCAAGGCGCTTTAATCACGTCTGATGGAAGTTTTTGCATTTGTATAAAAAGAATAAAATGTACTGCTGTCTGTTCATGTTGAAAAAAATCTAACTGAATTAAAAAAAATGTTGGTAACATGGATTTTCTATGTATGGAAAAGAATAAATTATGATCCTTGTTTTCTTGTGAAATTTCCTTTTTCCCTCTAATCAACAAAAACAGCCATACCTTACAGTTTAATATGCTTAAAGCAGCCTGTAATGTTTTCACTTCCAAGGCACCAACGTTTAGATTAGAGTTGAGATTATTTCTTAAGGCACTGTGTTATTGCACTGTCCTAAATGTGAAACATGGTGGTGGCAAGATGATGCTTTATTTTAAAGATGAATAGAGGGCAATGCTTGCAGAAAACAAACAAAAAAAAGACTGAGAAAGAATTTAACAGTCGTAGATATACAGGCAGGGACTGTTTAGGTAAAGGTGTAAGGAAGTCCAAACCTCAACCCAACTGAGACTATTTGAAGACACCATCCTTAAGAGGGGAAATAATATGAGAAAAATTAATCGGTTTTCATTCATAAAAATGCTGAATTTTTTTTCTGTTATGCAGAACTTCCTGTTGGTCCATCATAAGACCCCTAGTTAAAATACACACAAACCTGTAGTCTCCATTTTATCAAATGACTTACCAAGATATGAATGTTTTTGCATGGCACTGATAACGTCCCGGATTTATTTTAGAGGAATTATTTAGTTATTAGGTTATCTAACAGTAATGTAAAAATGACTTCAGATCTCCTTTCTGTCCCTTTATATCCATTTTTTCCCAACCTGAGTTCACATTATCCAATCTGAAAACAAACCAAGTATATTTCTCTCTGTAGAAATTCTCTGTATCAATGCGTTTTATATGTGTTTAATAAAGCCTAAATCTCCCGTTTAAAGGTAACATTCTAAAGATCTATCTTTACAACCTGTTTTCAGTGACTACAGTTTTAATTTGCATTCAGGCCAATGGACCTGACGCTTGTTTAAGCAAGTATGGTCCTAAATTGGGCCCAAAACTTTGTTCTAAAAGAAAACAAAAATATTCTGTTTTATAATAAATTATAGACATTTGAAAAATATTTCATAAAGTATTTCTTTAATGAATTGAGGCTCCCACCAGGAGATCTGCAGATGCATGAAAAGCAAGCCAGGAACACCGAGGCAGCCTCTACTCATCTATGTGATATATCGTGACCGTATCGCATCTACAGACATAAAACATTCAATATGTGATTGTAGAGTAGTAGTTTATGTGTATTTTAAGTAAAACTTGTCATATGAGTATTTATTACGCATTTGCATTATAGGCAACAGTTCTGACTTTTCAAATATCTTTTAAATGAAATGTTAATATGTGTCACATATAAACCCACTTCAAGCCATTTTAGATTCAAAGATTGTTGACTGGTCAACACAAACCAAAGTTCCCTTTCTATAAACCCTTAAATTTCAGTCATACTGCAGCTTGATAAAATAGAAAATCGGAATTACCATGTATCATTGGCAAAGCGATGAACTCAAGGTTTCTGCACAAATCAGACTGCTTAAGCCAAAAAAAAAATAAAAAATACTCAAGACTTTATGCACCGTCACTATCATCCTAATACCATGGATTTATTACTTTCATCAATTGGGATTAAAAAAAAAAAAAAGATATATATTTTTTCAAAGCTAACAATTATTCTTACTTTTTATGCTTAGTCATTGTAATAATAATAATTGAACTTTACTGATCTCACATTGGAGATATTTACCTCTGCAATTAACCCATCTCCTTGGGGAGCAGTGGCTGCCATCTTGGGACGCCCGGGGAGCAGTGTGGGGTTAAGAGTCCTGCTCAGACACCCAGAGTGCCCTAACCACTGATAAAAATAGGCAATAAATTGACGGGGTGACCAGATTGAAATTTAAATGAATCTTAGGATTATTAATCAACATGTATTAGTAGCAGAGCTCCAACAAATGATTATTTTGCTAATCCATTAATCTGTCAATTATTTTCCAATTAATGGATTAATATTTAGATAGCCAAAGATTCCTTAAAGAAGTTTTTTTTACGAAACTAAACCAAATTAAAGCTTTTTGACTAGAGAATATTGACGGATGAAAAAATGTTCATCTTAAAAGCAATATGTTAATATATATATTCTTTTTTTTACAATTTTTATAAAAAATGACTGCTCTGTCAGCTAAAGGTATGTTTTACAGTCTCTACACTCCAGTTAACGATTAATCAATTACTGTATTAGTTGACTTAAGAATAAAAAAAAAAACCTGGATGCAACAAAAAGATGCCATAAACGTGATAGGGATATTTGTAGCTACTTTAGATGGGATATTTTTTAATACCCATGTAATGAATAAACAGACAAATCAGGCTCTATCATTTTAACTTTTTCTGGGTTCCTCGTCAATTAATCTTAAAAGATAAAAATATTTTTTTCTAGCAGCCATCTTAACTAGGGAAAAGGCCTAAATTGGTAAAATATAAAAGCATTCAGTACCATCCTATGCAAATCTAAAGAATTTTCCAGAGAGAAAATAATCTGTGTAGATTTACAGAATTTTATAGACCATTCAAACGTTTTAAGGTGGATCTGGTTATTTTCAACAAAACAGACAACCAAAATATATTTATATTCTTTATTCATAAATACCACTATTTTATGAATATAAAACATCTTAAATTACTGTTTGCTTGGACAAATACTCTGGCGTTATGGTTGAAAGCTCTTCAGGCAAAAAGACAAAAGAATGAAGAACAGTAATTGCATATAATCTGTGTAGCCGTTAACTCCTTATTGTTGCTGTGGTGGCAAAATCCATGTTTTAAATGATCTCCTTAGAAACCTCACACAAATAAAAAGATGTACAGGAGTGAAAAGAGGCAGGAGTGATCCACTCACTTCAATTTGAAGCACAACTTTGTCAGCAACGGTCATTCTGTACAAACAAGAATATTCAAACAAAAAAACAGAAATTAAAACCGTTATGTCCAGGAAAACTGCAACCTTTTTGTCTGCAATAAAAACTCTATTTTTACTTCTGAATTTACAAGTGTCTTAATGTAAAAAAAAAAAAATCTCTAAAAAATATACTATCTAGTAGGCACTCCTGTGTTCAGTGGGCGAGGTAGCTGGGTGGTCAGAATGTACACAGGCTCCAGGTTTATCAAAGCAAGAGTCTATCAAAATTTTGGGGTAAAAAAAATCTAGATACTGTGAAAGACATGATCCCATTTCAGTTCCTCCTTGTATAGTTTAGGAGGCTTTATTAAGGATGCATACAGGTGAACAACAGCACCATACACGATGAAATGCACACAATCTGTCACCTCACTCTCTCGCTCTCTGTCATCTGCCACAGCCCGAGGTTTAATACTTTAAGGCACGGGAGCTGCGTTATCCTCTCCAGACCCCTCTTGGTGATCTTAGTGCAACCATACAGATCAATCCCTGTCAGCTGAGTCAAATGGTCAGCTATTAACTCCAAACCTTTGTCTGTGATTCGCACACACTGCCCAATGTTCAGAGTTTTCAGTTCGTGCATTTGGCGCACCATTCGGTTAATCCCGTCATCGCTGATGTGACAGGAGCACAGAGAGAGAGACTTGAGCTGATACAGGCCCTGGGCGATGTAAGCCAGGCTCTGGTCTCCGATCTTATCACAGAAAGAGACATCGAGGCCGGACAGCCGGAGGGAGCCCATAGCCAGATGCATTATCCCTGTGTCACTGATGTTATCGCAGGAGCGCAGGTTCAGGCTACAGAGCTGGGTCATCTGTGACAGGTGGATCATCCCTGCATCCGATATCCCCCCACAGAAGCTGAGGTTCAGCACTTTGAGCTTGTTTAGACCCTTTGAAACATGTTTAAGTGAAAGATCTGTCAGCTTCTGGCAGTCCTGTAAGGTTAACTTCTCCAGAGTTAGGCAGCCCTCTGCAGCACTGCGGGTCATTCCAGAGAGGTGACCAATGCCCACGTCTGATACATGCCTGCAGCTGCGAAGGTTAAGGCTTTTGAGTCGGTGCAACCCCCAGGCGATGAGCAACAGGCCAGTGTTCGTGATATTGCTGCACCCACCCAGCTCCAGCACCTCCAGGTTCTTCAGGTACTGAGCGATCCTGCCCAGACTGGAGTCTGTGATCTGCTTACACAAGCTAAGGTTCAGGACCCGCAGGGATGGGATGTCCTGCACAAAGGCATGCCCCAGACCGTTGTCGGTGAGGTTGAAGCATCCACACAAGTTAAGGCTTTCGATCTGCGGCATCCCCTGAATCACGTAGCTCAGGCTTCGCCTCAGGCTGAGGATCTGAACTTTCTTGATCCCTCTGGTCTGCAGACTCGGGAACAGAGAAGGGTTGGCTCTCCGTAGATGGAGCTTAGCTTCCACCCCCCTCCACACAGACTTGTGGTAGGAAGCGTCTCTCCAGGCCGCGCATACTTGGGCTACCCTGCCTTTGTCCTTAACGTCCAAGTAACTGAAAATAATGGCCAAGATTTCCGGGAAAAGGCACGATATGTGTGTTTCCGTTTGAAACATGACTGCTGGATGACTTCTGGCGGCGGCACCGGTTGCCTAGGAGCGACAACAAAGCGGCGTTAGCTCCACCAAAGTTAGTCTTTAGCATTAGCTACTGTCAGCGAACCAGTTAGCATTATGTGCTGCGAAACAAAAATACACTCTAATCCTTTAAAAAAAAATTACTATTTTATTATATAGTTATAAAAACATTCTCACAGAAAAGTTAACATGTCGATGAAGTGGGTTCACTTTAAAAATGCAATATTTACCAAGTACGAGTCGGCTTAGCATAAGCTAGCTGTCTAAAGTTGGGAGCTTGAAAGCCGCCGAACCTCCTCGTCCGGAACGACGTACTTTTTACTCCAAATCATCTCAAGAACGCAAAAAAGGTTTCATGTTGGAGAATATTGTAGCTAAATGCCTGTTTTCTTTTAGATCGGGCATTAAAGTACAGGTTTTCCCTATGGCGCCTGAGCAGCAGCTGCTGGAAGCTAGCTCGCTCGCCCAGCGGCTACTAGTGGAGCGGTAGGGATTGTAGCAAAGATGGCGGTCTGGTCCGGACCGTTGTGTAATTATTGGTCCGTGCCGCCAGAGGGCGTCTGGCTCACAGTTCCGTGCGGTCAACTTTGTCACCGACACCAGAGCTAAGGGTCAATTTCTAAGCCATTATTTTTAAATTAAGTTTAATATTTCTGATAGCCTTTGTTTTGCTCTTTGTGGTTTGTTTTATTTTTATTTATTTATTTATTTATTTTATTTTCTTTTTTTTGGGGGGGGGGGGGGGGGGGGGGTTGTTATTAGGCTACCCTATTTTCAGTTAATAAATTGGCAATAAGTAATGTAATCGAACTCTTCACTAAACTGAATTAATATTCCCTTTAGGTTGTGCCTCACTGGAAAGTAACCTAACTGTCAATAGAAATTATCTGAAGGAGAAGTTCAGCATACTATTAAACTATTAGGCACATCCCAAAATCCCAAACTATAACATTACCACTATTCCTACTTGACATTTACCTTACCATGCTGTAATGATTTGTTCGTCCCGCTAGAGGGCGTCTGGCTCACTTGTCCGTGCGGTTATTCTTCCAAAGCTGAAAGCTTTACTCAATGTTTTTTAATTAATTTCAATATTTATGATACTCTTTGTTCTTAAATTTGATTATGATTTTTATTCTGAATTCATTTTTTGTTTAATCCACTGGAGTTTGGTTACCTGTTATTTATATAAATGAATAAATTAACATTTACTACTGTGTTATTAATGGGCCTAAATTGAACATATGCTCCCTGTGTCATGCTGACTGTTTATTACTCACCAGACAGTGAGAGTTAGTCTAAAAAATTACTAATAATCCTTTGATACACTGATTTTCTCTACAATGAGCATTTGCTCTACGAGTATTTTTAAAATACACACAAACACAGAAGAGCAGAGAGGATCATCTGGGCTCCTCTACCTTTCATTAAAGACAATTGATCGCAGGGCTGCATGTCCCGAGCTTGTAACATCATCAGTGACCCCTCACACCCCCACCATGGATTGTCCTCCTTGCTGCCCTCTGGGAAGAAGCTTCACAGCATCCGCTGCAGGCCCAGCAGATTCTGCAACAGCTTTTTCTCCAACTCTAAATGATGTCACAGACTCTGTATCACACTGATTGCACCAAACCAAAAATACTGCATATTTGTACCATATATATTTGGCTTGAAATGCTCTGAAGTCCCATATCAACATGTTTTTGCATCATGTTTTTTTTTTCTCCCACACTGTTTACATCTGATTACCACTGCACTTTATAAAATTGAAATGTTTATTTCACTGCTAAGCTGCTGCTCATTTACTGTCAGAAAGCTGTATAAAATGAAATTTAGTTTTCCATACACTCTTTGTATACAAAATGACAATAAAAGTTGTCTAAGTCTATATGCTTTTGTTCTGTTTTTTTGTGATCAAATTGAGTTATTTGTTTTACAAATGTTTTTGCCTTTATTCTTCTTTTATTTTATTATCTAATTCATGTAAAGCACTTTGAACTGTCCATGTACTGAATTTTGCTTTACAAATAAAATTCCATTGCCTTGCCTGGCGGCATGGACCAATAATTACACTTTGTTCTGGATCAGACCCACTGATCTATATTTATTCACTGGATTGCTGATTGCCCCTTGGTAGTTCGGGGTTTGAAGCCGCCGGCTGCCATATTGGTACCCCCTAGTTAGAGCATTCGCAATGTAAACAATATGTATCGAACAAAGATGATGATCTCATTTTCAGGGGGACTTAAGACTTTTAAAATAAAGATAAATTCCTCACTTTGACACACACTTGCTGTTTAACTAGATTACAACAAACAGTCATATCACATTGCATAGTCATTATGAGGACAATGAAGTCTATAAATCATACAATGTAACATATTATACAAATCCATCACAACTAAATAAATGAGCTAATTTAGCATAATACTACTGAAGGGCCAAAACTGCTTAATCGATGAGGTATATGTAATATACATGTATTGATATAATTGTTGCTATAACGTCCTACATATAATTTCAAAATTTTACATCAACACTGAACTACAAATGCGTGTCAGTTAATGCTATAGTATTTTCCTATTTGCAAATTGTGCATGAATGATGGCATATACTTTTTTGCTCTGTCTATGCATTTGCCTTTAAAAATGTTTGAGTGGCTTTTTTTCCGTCAATATACCATGCAATATATTTCAGCACATGACTTTTTCAAATCAGAAATACAACAAACAATACAAAAACGAGAGCATCATCCACTTAACAATAAATTACTACATTAAGATTCCACAGTGAATTACTTCCTATTTACTCTACTTTCTATTTTCTAACATTAGACACAATTTCAATGGTTAACTCAGTCAATGTCTTCGAGCCGGTCTGAGATAACCAGACTAATGTTATACTACATACTATACTATAGGATATATGGGAGTATTTATGGATTTTCTCGGTTAGTACATCCACTAACTCTAAATTGCCTGTGAAATGTCTTCCCAGAACTGACAAACTGCTTGTTTTTGCAGTCAAATGCTAAACAAGTAGGCATTTTTACTGTGCATCTCCATGGGAGTGGGGAGTACCAACACGTCGGCCGGTGGCTTCACTTTTTTCTGGCAATCGGCAATCCAGTGAATAAATAGAGATCAGTGACCAGGCCACCATTCTCGCTACAATACTTTAATGGGACAAGAAAAATGGAGTTAAGTCTTATGTATCAAAAAGAATTTACAACAATAAAGACATATAAAACCTAAATGTCTATTTAGTACTATTAGTTATTCTTTGTTTTTAAGTACCACCCTGATAAAGCATTCAAAAATGGAGACCTGTCTCAGTTTACATTTTTTCTTGAAAACAGATAAAAAATACTTGTATAAATCATATCATAAAATAGCAATATTGCTATTTTTACTTTTTAGCCAAATATGATTTAGCTCATGTTTCATCAAAATCTATCTATGTTCAAACCAAGGCTGGTTACTTTGAAACGTACAAAATCCTTGAACGGGACCTTAATTTCTTCCTTTAATCATTAGATCGTGGCGTATTTCAAAAAGATGCCCTGGTTGATTGTCTTTGTCCAAAGGCCAGTATGTCAATAAAAGAGACTGTAGCAACAATCGACCACCTTTCAATCTCTTCTGGGTGCGGGGAATCTTGGTTTTAACACCCTTGTAGAATGATGCCCAGACCGGGAGATAAGTTATGAGCTTTCCCATTTACTAAAGTCAGGTTGTACATGAACAAACTATCCGAGTGGCGGTTTTGTACAACGAGTGAGATGGACAGGTTATGGAGAGCGTGGATATCACAGAACTTTACCATAGGATGCAGGCTGTTGTGTGCCAAAGAAAGCGGTAAAAACCTTATGAACTCCCTTCACCCAAACCCTTTCTGCCCTCTCACCTCTTACCTGGCTTTCCCCTCCACACCGCCACCAGTGGCAGAGCGAACCACGGGTCAGTGTGTCAACCTAAACAAAACATCACCACTCAAACCAAATAAACCACAATCAAGCCATATCTAAACACCAACAACTATAAATGGCTCCTACAGAGTCCCTGCAGCCTCCTGCTGGGCTAAAGACATTAGAATTCACTCATAATCTACCAGTACATCAACAATAGCACGTTTTAGAGTTCTGTGTCAGATGATCCAACGGTTTTTCTATGTCTTCTAACACTTGTAGATATTTTCATGATTAAAAACCAAAATCTGTGAGGTGCTGTTAACCATGTTTGTTGTATGGTTTCCCTTTTTAACCCCTAGATCTTGTTGTTGCTCAGTACCCTAGTAGATTGCAACAATTATCATTATACAGTGTCATGAAATGTAGTCGTACCCTCACAGATTTATTTTTATTTATTCTAAAGGTTTCAGGTAAAAAGAAAAGCAATCATTAGCAAAGGAATATAGGTATCTAAAATAACCTGGCTCCTTATAAAAATGTAATTTCCACCTTTGTTAATTCACAAATTAAATAGGATAGCTGTGCATTTAGGATGAAATTCACTAGACCCTATTTCAGGTTAAAATGTTTTAATGGTTTATGTTTATCCAGCTGGAATTGGTTAGAATGTCTTTTCTTTTTATGGTTAGCAGGAATGCAGGGCCTCCTCACAGCAGCTCCTTTATGACCTGAAGCAACACATACCTAAAATCTTGGCATATTTCAGGGCTCCCATCCAGCTCTTCTTTGAGTAATATCCACAGCCGCCACAAACGGTCCTCCAAAGAAACAGCAATGTCTGATTGAAAGAGCTGACATTTTGGTTGAAAATAATAATGTGTTTGACACTAAACACCATTTACATTTTTATTGAAGGTAGCATGTTTTTGCCTTAGAATACCATTAAGCCACAAATGAGGAATTGATGACAAGCCAGAGGGAGTGCATTTGAGAGATTCATAAAAATTTAAATGGATTATAAACAGTTTTTTGTTTTGTTTTGTTTTTGACAGCTGATTGGTTCCATTGACAATATTTATTTGACTTTGGCAAAAAAAAAAAAAAAAAAATCACATTCATGACAAATAATGTGATTCAGTAAGAACAGTAAATATTTTAAAGCACATGTTTTCCTTACAATTTCTTACATATCATATAAACATTGATTAATGAACAATGTCAAGAAAAAGTAAAGGATGTTCTCTTATTGCTGTTTGGTCTGAAGTTATTTTTCTTTTTACAAAGCTGCTACATTTCCAATGAAGAGATTTTCACAAAGTTTCTTAAAACAGTGGTTAATAGTAAATCTAGCAGAAACTGTACCTATTTAAAAGGAAGTCTTACCATGTTTTCTTCACCAGGGAAGATTCAACACAATAATCACCTGATTTAACAAGAACCTTTGAGCCATCTAACATGTTCAGCTGCTTAAAGTCCTCAGTAAATGTCTCACAGGGTTAGAAACTTGGTTGGAGCATTTATCTGTGGAGCCTCAAGTTCTCCCCTCTTTCCCGGCTTACTCATGATGTTTAGGTTGGGATGACTTAAAACTTTTCCTT